CCCACTTATCCATTAGGGTATTCATGTTTAAGGTATTATATTCCACAGGGATACTGGCCATACTAAGACGTATACAACAAGCATACTTAGGGCAAAATCAGATAACACCATCAAACAAAACACCAATTTTACCAATTTTCACCAAATGGCTGGTTTATTTCCGACTGGAGGTAGTACTACTCTGTCCCAAATTACCTCCACGTTTCAACTTCGACTCACCTCAAGATTTGACTCATTTACCCAATTTCTACAAAATTTGTACCAATGAGAAGCTGGGAATTCGGTTTTGCTTGCTCATATTTATATTACAGATTTTTGGTTAATGTGCACACTATCATCAAAATAATATTGCTCCTCAGGGCAGAATTAAAATCACCCACCGGACTTGATTAATGTATGGTAACAATATTCATATACAGAGGTAACGTAAACTCTATAGTATAATTATCATATATGAGTTTTCATCTCTTGGGTTCTGCTCGAGTCAGGGAGACATCCCTGCCATAACCATGGTGACAGTCCTCGTCCTCTATATCGACAATGCTGATGTAAGAAGTTTGGGCCAATTGGCTCGACCACTTGCTTGTTCACAAGAGGCAGTTCACGCTATACAAAGATCATCAGTCTGATTTAGGACAAATTTAAATAAATCCTCGTAATAAAAATGATTTTGCGGCAAAACTTGAGGTGAAACGTGGAGGTAATTTGGGACAGAGTATATTTCATTTGGCAAAATGGGATATAAGGGTGTGTCTGGTAACCGGAAATGCTACAATATTCAGGCCCAATACGCCATTTTGGGGCCGAATTCAACAAAAATTTCGTTTTTTCCAATTCTACTTGGAACAGGCTCTTAGCGTTAGCCATAGGCAGACAAGGATTGAAATTACATAGATAATGCTATATATATGTATGCATGTCTTTGGCGATGATAATCATGGAGGTTCTAGAGCTAAGCTCACTTCTGAATCACCTTCCTTTGAGCCACTACAACTACATCTATGTGTGTTGTGTGCCTACGTCTGTTAGACAGCTTGACCAATTGTGATGGTTACAATCCATTGCTTTTGCCTGGATTTGATTTAATGAGCATGATCTGCTAGCGTACCGCCTCATTTTCTACAATGGAACTATTATAAGCAGCTATCACGTTATGTCCACAGGTTCCTCCTTATTAGTAGTGTCTGTCATTCAGCGAACCTTGTTTGAACAATCAATGTCCTCGGAAATACGTTTAACTTATATTAGAGAGATTTCGCAAATGTGCCGTTGCCATTGCCATATATTTAGATTTGGATCTGGCAATGGCAAGACACGGTTTTGGACATTTCAAAATGGCTGCCATTGCCATATCTATATCATACATTTGTAGCATCAGCCATCATTTGCTCATCGTCGGTGCCATGAATAACGAGGATTTGATACTTGCTTTACGCGTCTACAAGTGGACAAAGCGATAGAAGCTGCGACCTGCTACGACTACAATGCTTCTGGAGTTCGGCCTTGGAATTCCTGTGGAACGTCCGCTCATCCCATTGCTTCGTTTTGACATCAACATGCGTGATGCCGATGCCCGTCTTTCGTTTCGTTTTGACGTCGCTGGGCTTCTGTAATTGACGGAGCTGCTTGGCGTGCCAAACGTTGTTGTCACATCATCGCGTGACCGTGTAGTTGGCGTGGAGGCCGTGGCTATTCTTCTTAAACGTCTGCGGTACCCTATCACTTTGTACGACATGTTGCCCATGTTTGGTCGGTCTCGTGAACAAATCTGCCGCGTACTCAATCACATGGGGAACTTGGTCTGCTCGAAGTGGAAAGACCACATTTACTGCAACAAACGTATTGTGCGTGCCCGAATTGCTCAGTACGCCAGGGCTATCCATGCGAAAGGCGCACTTCTGTCAAATGTCTGGGCATTTCCTGACGGCACAAAGATTGAAACGTGTCGTATCAGCGCAAGTTCAAGTGGTGCTGGTGGTTTGAACGTGCAGAAGCGGATCTACTCTTGCCATAAACGAATGCACTGCCTGAACTTTCAGGGCTTGACCACTCCCGATGGCTTGCGCATTCACTTTTTTGGTCCGTTGGAGGGCAGCCGACATGATGTGCCTTTGTTGCGAGTCAGTCAGCTGCAAGAGTACTTCGAGGCAAATTCCGACATTTTTGACGGCTATTTCATCTACGGTGACCCGGCCTACCCTATTTATAAATGGATCATCTCCGGCTTGCAGGGAAACAATTTGGATGAGGCAAAAGAACTCTTCAATGCAGCCATGTGTCGTGTGCGTCAAGGTGTTGAATGGAACTTTGGCCGCATGAAAACATTGTGGGGTTTTACGACGTACAAAATGCAACAAAATATCGAGGTAATATCTCCGTCACAACGAAATTAGATTCACACACAACAGATATGGCGTTAGCACATGTACATCGTCGTCGTCACAATAAAACTGGTAGCTTTCACACAAAACCAGTCGTCTTCACACAAAACTAGTCGTTATCACAATAATCTCGTCGTTATCACAACAATTCCGTCGTTAACACACAACATGGGGCGATGTCACAAACGCGACACGTTTAATAAA